ATGTTTCGACAGTAATGATCTAGCTTATTGAGGGTGTCTTTTGATAATCCACTTTCCAGTTTAGCTAGAGAGATGTTAGTGAGGATTGGACCCTAGGGGCGATCCCACTAGCTGACCCATCTATTTGTCCATAAAATTTGTTGTTAAACGTACGGTAGATTAAGTGACTTTTCGAATTTACAAATAACACTATATTCAAGTATTCATGTCGCATCAGATGCAAACGTTCACCATTTTAACATGCAACATTTCCGAATTCATTATTGCTTGTAGTTAGACATTAACACCATTGGATGCCGGCTCAGTGGTCTAGTAGTTAAGCGTTCGCACGCGAGACCGAAGGTCCCGGGTCCTAGTCTTGCATGCGGGATCGTGGATGCTCATTGCTGAGGAGTCCCATACTAGGACGAAACGACCATTCGGTGCTCTCAAATTTTCAATGGTGGTCTAACATCCATCATATTAATTTAAACTCACCAATCTCCACAACCCTATACTGATAAATTCATTAATACATGTCTTGTTTTGACCTTTGTAAAATATCACAACAATTATGGACTTACAACTGTAGAACGTGATGATGAGTTTATTGAAAACGATTGTTCACTCAACTATTCTTAGTCTTTAAAATAATTTAGATATGAATTTCATGAATGTTGGTGTTTGTGACACATGTTTTAACACTTTGAACTTTCAGTTTACTAACACTTTAACGAAAAGTATATTGATAATCTATCTACCTTGAATATGTAAGGAAGATTGTACAGCTAGGATATTTGATTCTAAACATGTTTCCAGTAGTGAATTTACTACATTCCAATCGAAAAAGCTTTCTAAAACTTTTAACCTTACTTTACAAATACTATTCATCATAGTGTTATAACTAATTATGTTTCAAATAAATTTCCATAATATATATTAATATATTGTTAGAATTTTGCTCGTACCTATCAATTTGTTATTTATGTTGACTATTCATACAGCCCAATCGACATTAGATCTCACCTCTGATATATCATCTACAACATATAATAATGTAAGTACTGGAATCAAGCTAGTTCATTCGGAATCAACATCAGATTTTTCTTGTAAAAATAAACTTCTCAGTGTAGAAATTCAAAATAATCTCAGTAAAATTGATCATATAGGCAAAGCAAGTAAGCCAGCTGGGAAATCTTTTTCAGACATTGCTGTTCAAAAGTGTGATCCACGTTCACATCATATATGTTTAGATCATTTATCTGGTAATATGAAAGGTTAGTCAGGTCGTATTTTATTTTCTACAATAATATGTATCATTTCTGTGTTTAAACAGTTTTATGTACTTCGTCATGAGGTTAAGTCGTATAAATTTATAGATAAGTTATCATTTTATCCAGATTTTACGCAAAACACTTCATTTCTCGACATCATGTGTGCTTGTAGTATTTTTCTATTTATTATCATGTAATTGAAATTGTAAACGTGAAGTAATCTTTTAATTAAAGTCGGTTAATGGTTATCAATGGACTTTTCCGCTGGATGTCCATGAATCCCAGTGATGTTCACTCCATTATTCGAGTGCTGGTACCTTTCTCTTCGAATGCCAACGCTTTATTCATTAAATTTCTGAGTTCAGAGGGTCACGAGCTTGTGCAACGGATATGAGTTTTACATGTAAGGGGCTGTATATGCTGTTATTGGAGACTGCAGTTGATCAGTCTCTGTTGGCATATGGGCATCCTGAGAGGGTTGCCTGGATATTGCTGTTTAGTCATAAATATTTAGTGAAGTTGGGTAGTAACTGGTATTCAAGTATGATTAATTGTAGTCTTTGACATCAAACAGAGAAAACGCAAATCCTTAGAAACTGAAATAATCTGTTCAGCTTTTTGACTCAAATGATCATGATAAGGGAGATTGAAAATTCTTTAATTAACATCAGTTCTTAATTGATCAATCTTTTGTTGCATGAAATGAATCATACAGAGAAAACACTCAAATGCGTGTACAAACGAAATTGTTTAAAGCAGATCAATCTTTGACGTACAGTTTTCTTCTTAGATTAGTAAATTACAAGTTTGAATGCAAGATATGTGCACTCGAGTATCTTTATTGATGTAACATTATGATCTTTTTTGAATTCATGTTTTTGAACTATAAGTAATTCTTTGTTAATAATTTTAGAATGGCCTCCTTATTCATCCATTACTGCTCCAGTTAGTCCTGGTGGATTACAAAAAGAAAATCACAAAGCATTGTCTGGTACGTCTATACCATTTCATAGTTGTCGCTTTGGTCGTCTGATTATTTCACCTGATGGAGATGAAGCAAAAGAACTAAAGTCAATCACTTATCAAACGACACACAAACTTTACTCAGCTCCATCGAAGACAGAAAACGAGAACCAGATAGGTATGTTTCTAAACTACATGTATACTCCAACCGTTTACTGTGTGATGAAACAACAAATAAAAACGTAGTTTGTGGACAATCGTGTTGAAAATCTAGGACTCTTTATTTTATGAGATATATTTGATACTTAAAATCGACCCATTAGTGTTTTCTGAAACGTTTTTCTCAACCAGCTTTGTAAGTATTTTTACAACAATGTTCAATTACACATCAGACTCTGTTCTCGTATATTTTAAAACTATACGAAAAGAATATGGACAGAACTGGATGACACACAACAAGCGGGACACTTTCTGGATAACTCCAAGGTTTTCACCAGCTACTGACTCGATAAGGCACACTACTCTCTAAAGACTAGGTTGGTTTCACTAATTCACTTCCTATTGTTCGTTCAATAATCAGTCTGTACCAATCCAAGGAAAGATTTCGAATTTTTTGAGTCAAAAACATTCTCGTTTGAATTCCAGGTTGTAAGCCCCCAGAGAGATACTCGCAGTAAAAGTAAATGAAAGCAAAATAGTGGTTGACTTTAACGAACTTAGAATGATCACAGAAACTGAGTTTCAAGTAAATATAATATAAGCTATTTCTATCCACATAAAGTATCGTTGATTTTGATTATCTGTTAAGAATACTTACCTAAATTTAGCAACCCTATTTCACCAACGTTTTATGATATACAGTGTATTATTTTAGCGACGTCAATTTAATCCCTCCTATTGTTTCAGCTAAGCTTATTCTTATCGTGAATACAGTATATTTTTAATATCCTAATATACCATAGAAAGGTTTGGTATTGCTGTCAAAAACAAGTGACAAGATATGAGTACGATGGTCAAACTAAACAGGAGACGTTTCTCGAAAATTGAAGCTGTGACGTTTGAATATTAACGGAAAATGTCTCGTAAATTTTGCTTTTATCAAGAAACGTGTATCTGTTATTGGTAGTGGTAATATTTTTACTCAGCTACTGTCTGGGAATCAAGATTTGCTTGAACCTACAAAACAAGGCGAATAATGTATTTGGTTATCGTATAGGAATATCCTAGTGTTTGGAGTTGTTTCTTATGATCATGACAATTAACTCAAAATGACTACTTTTATTTCAGTTGAAATGGAGCTGAATACGCCTGCTACAAGTATATCAACTGAACATGAAAAGCAACCTAATTCAGAAGTATGTTTGGCCTACTTATTCATTGTCAGTTTTAAAAGATTTATGTATTTACGAATAAATTTTTCTGCTAACCATTAGGATGTTTTATTTATTTAAACACATAAACATTGGTACAAGGAGGCACCAAATAAGCATGCGCCATATTCGATTAGTGTGAGGGCTAGGATACTGCCTGGGTGCCCAAACCGAAGCAGGATGTTTACATATTAGCATGTGTTATGTTCTATCGCATACAATGGTTAAGCATGTCTATTAGATAAGATCATCAAACCGTTTGTTCATATATTGTATTGCAATTGTATGTTGATCAGTGTAACGTACAAAACACCTTGAAGCTTATGCCTTAGCACTTTAAATTTAATTTATTCAAGTTCATCGTTGTGTAACATGTTGGAAACCCATAAACTGCAACCATACTACGTGATGGTTAAACTTTTGGGTATTTTATGGTCATTAGTAGTACATTTAAGTAGTTATATCATGTATTCGGAGAATCAAACTAGATTTTCAGGTAAACTTGAGTGTACACTAGTTAAACTAACAGTGGTAACCAATAAGTGATGTGTACAAGTATTCAACAGTTGTACAACAAAAAGAAAATTATGGTGATCTAGCCGTTGGAAGTAAAATGTTTTCTGGGAACTGGTGGTGAAAACCATGAACACCTAGTTTTAACGCCGCGGTAACACCAATATCTTTTAGCAATCAACTTTTTGACATTTTTGCCTTTGATGGATATTGACCTCGGACATGTTTATTTTGTTCGTCTGATTCATATATGACACCATGTAACTTTAAAATACGTTTAACTTTTTATGAAAAACGTCATGAAGCTTGATCACTATATTATAAAAACTAGAATGTAACTGGAAAGTTGGATATATTTGAGTTTCTGTCGCTTATCAGTTAATATGATCATAATATCCTACCAAAATTTGTTAAGTATCAGAGGCGTTGTTATTAGTCTTGTCTAACGCGTCTTGCAGACTTCTAAATGATGTTCTTACATTCCATATAATTTATTTCTAGTCGGTCTCACTAACTTTACCATATATACCAGAAACTCCTGCGTATATGTTGAACATGGTCAATCTTTCTCGAAGTTGCAGTGCTTATGAGATTGCTACAGTGCCACTTAAACTTTCGTGCAATAGTGATCTCTCTACCAAAAACACATTGTCGTCCACATCAAATTGCTCAATTTCTATGAATAATGACAGACCGAGGTCTAAGTATGGTAGGTGGTTTTCCAAAAAACTTCACAAACGTTCTAAGCATGGAGTTTCGCAAGATCTAAAGATTAAAGTTGGTCGATTCTTGGAGCCTTATCCGCCAAGTACTAACGACGTTCATAGAAGTAAGGAATTAAAAGAAGGTGATTCTACTAACAAATCGACGCGGCATAAAGTATGGTCAAAAAACAAGTAATGGATTATCAAACAAGTTTTATTGTACATATTTCTTTAGTTTAAAATTATATTACAGTTCTTAACTTTAAATTACTTGTTTTGTATGCGCTTACCAAGTTAAATGAGTTTGTTTCCATTTAAATTGCGCTCATTCTGTCGGTGATCCCATGAAGGTAGAGATGATGCATCAAATACTGCAGGGTTACTGAATGCAGACCTGGCTTGTTCTAGAGTAGCTACACATGATCTGTCTTTATAAACATCAATCAATTCATATGTACCATCTTTCTGACTCTAAAAATTTTTAACGTAAAAATTAATATCAGATGGGTTTTGTGGATATTATAGTAATTTCAATGGTTAAGACCATGAGTCAGTTGAAGCTAGACCACCATGGGAAACCTGGAAGCGCTGGACGGCCGTTTCGTACTATCGCGGGACTCCTCAGTAGTGCGCACTCACGACCTCGCCCCTTGCGAGATTCGAACCCAGGACCTGCCGGTATGGCCGAGAGTGTAGTGGGCCCGCCCTCCCATTAGAAATGCTCCCACACGGCCACGCGCATACAGCCTCTGCCAGGGAAGTCCTACTGACTGCCTTCTCATGGCGATGGTATTGTTTACGAAAATGAGAGGACGAAAAGCAAGTGTCCGGCGCTTAAACCGGATCCCAAACGAATGGTGCACATGGGCTCCAGCATCGTGAGGGAGCAAATGGCGTATGAACCAATAGTTGGTCACCGGCTACCATGAGACTGCATCTTCTCGCGATGCTCCACTGCCTTGTGGGTTAGATCTTTAGGTCAAAGGCTCGGGGTGTGGCCCCCTAAAAAACCACCTGGTTCGGTCTGGCCACCCGGGCAGTATCACAGCCCACACACAGACAGAATGAAATGAAGATACTTACAGAAAATACTATACTTGCTTCGATTAACGATCAAGCGATTCAAGTTATTATTATTTACTACGTCTTTTATTCCCACTCTGTGTATCCTTATTTTCCGACTTGTATGCACTAATATATTGGATCCCCATTAACAGTTAATTATGTGCTGTTAGATTAGAAAGTTCCATCAAAGTGAGGAGAAACGATGTGTTTTCGTCATCTTCGCCTATGCCAATTAACTGTTCTTCTCCAGAAAGTGCGTTCGACAGATGTTGTATTACCAGCCGGAGACTTGAATGCTTAGGTCGGGCGTCTAGGCACAGAAGAGAGTCGTTTAGGTGGCCGATGGGGACTCGTATGTCGCAGGTCAGATAACGGGGACCGTCTACTGCAACTGTGCACAGACCACAACCTGTTTCTGGCTAGCACTAACTTTCGGCACAGTCATCGCCGATGTGCCACCTGGCGTCCTCCCTCTGCATCTCAAGTCTGGACTCAGATTGACCACATCGCGATCAGCTACCGCTGGCGTGGTTGTGTAGAAGACTGCTGCTCCTTCTGGAGTATCTATCTGGACTCTGATCATGCCCTGGTCTGCGCCAATCTTATCTTACTTTTCAGTGGTCAACGAAGTGATCGTCACTAAAGGATTGATGTCAGCAAGTTGGTTGCAATTTCTGTTGCTAGTAATTATCGAACCGAGCTAGCTTCTAGGCTTTGCGCAACGTCCCGCTTATAAGCACTGGGTCTCTTCAGGCTCCTGACAGCTCATCGAAGCCCGTCAGTGTGCTCCTGGAGAAAGACTTCTCGACCTTGAGTAAGCGGATGATATTGTCTTACTGTGCGATAATGCCCAAGGCATACAATCCGTACTTAATCAGTTAGCAATGTTCGTAGGTATGGTATGTGCTTTGCACCTTCGAAGTGCAAAGTACTTCTACAAGACTGACAGTATCCTGAACTTGCACTCACCCTGGGTAGTGAGCAGATAGAAGTGGTCGAGAAGTTCGTGTATCTGGGTAGCTGCATAAGTGCTGGTGGTAGTGTGAGTGATGAGATAAATGCACGAATAGTGAAAGCCAGAGCGGCTTATGCCAATCTGGGCCACCTTTGGCGCCTTCGTGATGTTAGTCTGGCTGTGAAAGGTCGGATCTACAACGCGTCGGTGAGAGCAGTTCTGCTCTATGCTTGTGAAACCTGGTCTCTCCGAGTTGAGGACGTTAGACGACTCTCTGTGTTCGATCATCGCTGTCTCCGAAGGATTGCTGACATTCAGTGGCAACACCATGTCAGTAATGCAGAGGTTCGGCATCGTGTGTTCGGGCACAGAGATGATAACTCAATTGGTGTCACCATCTTGAAACACCGACTTCGGTGGCTTGGACATGTTCTCCGAATGTCGTCCCAGAGAATTCCACGTCGTTTATTATTTGCCGACTCTGGGACTGGTTGGAAGAAGCGGAGAGGTGGTCAGTGCATGACATGGTGTCGTGGCATGAAAGAAAGCTGCAAAGGACTGGCTTCCGTCGGTCCTTCACGACTCTCTGGTCGGGGTCCGAGAGATGGTGCTACACAGTGGCTAGAGACGTTATCAGATATGGCTCAGAATAGAAGCCAGTGGCGATCCTGCTGTAACCTTCTTTTACTTTCTTCATAAAAAGTGGTTGTATCTTCCTTAACTAAAAGATTTCTTCTGGCTTTACCTTTCCGTTTCCCCTACTATTACCATTACACTACCTTACACTAATCTGTTCGTCATTGTCCTTGTTTTTTAACGCTCCTTACCTTCTTTTTTCTCTTCGAATTCCTATTGTTTTGTGTGGCGCATATAAATTTGGTGCCCTCTTGTACCAATGTTTATGTGTTCAAATAAATAATAGAATGTAAACAGAAGGAGATTGTGACTTGGATGAGTCATACAGAGTGTGGAATGAAGCATTCAATGCTTCTTATATTTCAACAAGGTATTCCGTAATTTTATACTAATATACATTCACTTATTACAATACAAGCAAGGCCATATCTAATTGAATTTAAAGCAGCTGGAGAGCTGCAGATATATCTGGTTCAAAGCAAGTTGAATCCCTCATATGTAGCCTGCACAAGTTATGTAGAACATAGCTGTCGTCCGGTTCCTTTTGTGCCATGTGCATCGAATAAAGTATATATGGGTTAACCACAACCTGCAGGCTACCCACAAATAATTAAGAATTTTGGTTTTTCCATTCGAAGTTTTGAAAAAATAGCGTTCGAAATTAAACTCATTCTGTTGTCTAAATGACTTGAAGAACGCTCTTTTTCTGACGATAAGCACATAAATGGTCTCATACGGAAATAACCACTGGACTTTAAGGCTTAGGTAATAATTTAGTAGCAGTAGTTTTGCGATTTACACTTATATTTTATATCAGTCTTACTAATTCACACATAGAAAATAAGTTACAGGATATAATGATTTCAGGATAGTTCTGTAATTCCAACGCAGAACATAGGGTTTTCACTTTAACTTTTCTAAAATGAGATTCTTACCACTCAATGATGGGTGAATTTGTTACCTTCTTTGCATAATCTAAAACTAGTTTCATCTTCGTTGATGGTATTTTTGATTTTGCAGTGGCCGTGGGTTAGATTAATGCCAGTTTATTAACTGCATGTTCAACATTCATCCAGGTTTAAAGTATTTTAGTTTTTTGTATGAAGTTTAATATCAACCTGGTTCATTTCGGTAGTTTATTAATCTTGGAGAAGATCTGTAGCCCAAATGGAGTTTTGCTCTCTAATTTGAGTGATTTAATCGGGAAGCTTTTATTGTCCTTCTGGGCGTGATAGGTGTCAACAACCAAGATCGACAGAACAAGCAGTCATATGTGGAGAGTTTCGGATATCTTACTCTAATCTAAAGTTTCTGATGATGATGTACGTAGGGACAGTGGAAGATTCTTGACAAAACCAGCCAGGTTAGATAATGAACCTCATTCCGTATAGTTATCACACATACCCTCTACTTTTTTTGTGTACACTGTTAGTGATATGGTAGGTGTTTAAATCAAATTTACGAGTTTATAAGTACCTTTACAATAAGTATCCAGGGTATTCCCAAGCGGCTTTGATCCAGAATTTTTCTACCCAAGCTTAATTCTTTGCGATCATCCACTAAAATGTCACCAAGTAACTTGAAGTTGATGGAATCACTTTGAATGGTATCGAGGATATATTTCAGCTCATCTGGATTCACACTGTCCTTGGCCGTTTCCTTCAGGTAAATAGAAAAACGTCATAATTGTATCTGAAAGTTAGTTTGTTGGTGTTTCATAAACAGGACATTCTTACAGCCACTTGTGGATAAAGTTTAGTGAAGTACTTATTTATAACGATCTAACCCTTGTGATGGATCGCAAAAAAGCTAACATTCATACCGTGATCTCAGTCATAGGTACTTACTGCGTAATCAGGTGTTGACATCATTTTAATAGGTGTGTACAGAAGACATACTTGCTTTGTGACCAGCTTATTACAAAAACATGTAGTAGTAGTAGTAGTAATACAACAAAATTACGAGAACTGAACTTCTTAGTCGTTAGAATCCATATTTAAAAGTTCCCATATTACTCAAAGTATAAACCAACTACCTTCTGTAGAACTATTGATCCGCTGTATGGTGCGATTCGGACAGGCCATCGAAGCTGTGTGATCTGATCTTTAGATTTGTCAGGAAATGCAACTCTTGTCAAGTGTTCGATGCAAACGGCAAGTAAACGTGATATTCCAAGACCATAGCACCCCATGAACATAAGTCTAGGATATAAAATATATAAAGTGATGTGTGTCATTTTATAAGATAAACATCATACGTAAAATTTCCAAACACTAAAAAAATGATGAAGACAATGTAGTTGTTCAGAGGTTATTTCACTGTAACTTACTTTGAGCCTGAAGGGGATTGATAAGTGGCATCAAAACACTTTGAATATCGTTCACCCAATAGGAAACAGTGGGCGACCTTAAAAAAATAAACATGAAACTGTCCAATCAGTGACATTCAAAGCTAAGTACATCGTGATGTCAAACGATACCTATAAAGTTACATCGGAAGCAATGATTTAGGGTTATTTCCAACCACATTACTACGTATCTTTCATGAGTTCGATAGAAGTGTGCTCTTAAAGCAGTATTAAATGACGTGTACTAGATAATGATAAATATAATCTATCATGTCACATAATAAGCTACGAAAGTAACATATCCCCTTTACTTTAAGCAGTACAGGTATCCAACTGGTTAGGGATGCTTAAATAGAAGAGAAAAACAGTAAATCATTTAGGATTGATTGTGTTTTGAATTTTAAAAAATAAACTTAGCTGGCGAATTCTGCTCTCTGATATCCGTTCACTAAATGTGTCCATCATTAATTCGATTTCAGAATAATCGTTACTCAAACAAATGAATATAAATAGTTGATCACGCAAGCACTATATCACTGTTGTGCCATGAATGTACACTTCAAAATAGTTTGATGACAATGCGTCCAGTTAACTAAGGGGCATGTTGAAGTAATGGCGGCTAATGTAAGGTCAACAGTCACCATCTGAAGAGGTTTTTTACGGACGGAAACAATAACTTTATAAATAAATGAATATATTTTTAATATCCCAATGAGTAGAAAAACTAATTTTTCTACATATTGGGATATTACAAATATATTTATTTATTTATAACAATCTACCCAATGCTCCAATTATTCGAAATTAAGTCCAACCTTAGTAATAATAACTCTTTCGCTGATAATTCTTGATTACTTACTTCTATACCTTGAACTTCATTGAATACTTTTGGGCAAGATTGTAAAGAACACAATGAGCTGGCAACTTCACCTGTAAGTAATTTCCTTCAGAATGATAAATACCTTTAAGTTCTGAATTGAATTTCAGGGAGCATCTAAAGTGAATCAAGAAGTGTGATGGATATTTGGACAGATTTTTTTTTAAAAATTAACTGATTTTACAACTTAAGATTTATACAAGCGAACTGTAAGAACAAATGTTGTGTTAGCATATTTCACTGCGGCCTTAAATAACTTAAAAATAATAGGTAAACGTGGTTAGGTACCTTACTATAATTCTGAGACAAGATATGAAAAAGAACATTTTCCACAATAAAATAGACATGGTTTTTACGCCTTGGCAGGAAACTAACGTAGCTTGTTTTGGATGATACGGACATGTATCGGACGGACAACATGGTAATTCTCAATATCTTATTATCATTAACGCTAGAACAACTTTCGAAAATAAAGTATTTTCGCATGCTTAGTTGGAGTTTCGCTGAATGGACAAGCAAGCATTTCAACTTTATAGTGTTTGGTATTATTTGGGAGTCGAAACAGTTTCAGTGCCCTATTAGTCACTCCTTAATTCGACTTAACATTGGGTCCTTCATAATACTTTATGTTTAGGTATCTTTCATGCCTACTGTTCACTACCATTGATACTACTTCAGTCCCGACCGAAGCTGCTACCTTGACGCGGTGGTCGGGCTTGCCTATCGTGATGACCCAACCGAGCTATATTGGCTGGAACATATGTTCCTGTAGGTTCTACCATGCCAGGCAGGTCGATTGGTGAACGGTAAGACTAAAAGCAGCAACTCAAGGTCTGAGGGCGAAGTCGTTCTGCTGACTGTAGAGCGGTGTGACAGCAATAAGGTGTTTCCCTCAGACAACCTGCATCTGCAGCACTGCTTCCTTCTCAGAAAGAAGGAAGGGGTTAGAGAAGGTCGACCCTAAAAATGTCACGCCTCACTTTACCTCCCGAAATTCCGTCCACGACGGTAACGTCCTTTGAAGAACAGAGCTAACACGTTAAAAACCCCACAAAAAGGCCGTGCGCAACCGGCCTCAAGCAGTTGTCCCTTGGGATATGCGGTCACGCTCCCAGGTCGTTAAGACCAACACTAATCCAATTTCCTTTTCAGGTTCCTCAAGAAATACCCTTCCACGGTGTGGGCAGCCGGGAAGTGACATCAGCCCTCATACCCGTAACAGCACACGAGACCAAGTTGGTCACATTCAAATCCTTCCTACACCTCCTAATACCTCTCTTATCTCCATGACTAACCCTCCTCACGTCTCTTTATCACCTCGCACCGCTAGAGCAAACGATTCGAGTACGTGGAACGCTATTCCTGGTCTCCTGAAACCACGCTCTAAACTACACGTAGGAGCTTTTAACGTACGAACACTTTGCCAAATAGGACAGCAGGCTTCCTTAGCCAGGACTTTAGAATCTCGCGCCATCAATGTGTGCTGCGTCTCCGAAACGCGCATACAGGATCCAAGTAGCGTCATTCATTTGACCTCATCATGCCAAAATAAAGAACCGACTCGATTTACGCTTCGTGTATCTGGAAGCCCTGATTCTGCTTCCCGTGGCCTCGCCGGTGTAGGTATAGCATTGAGTCCTAGGGCAGAACTAGCTCTCTTAGAGTGGATCCCAGTAGACAGTCGTTTGTGCGCTGTCCGACTGAATGGAACAATGAGGATCCGAAAAGATAGGGACACTCGTCGTTGCCTCTTCGTCGTCTCTGCCTATTCTCCCACTGACTGCAGCTCAGATGATGTAAAAGATGAGTTTTACAGAAAGCTTTCGGACCCTGCTTCGGTCTGGGCACCCGAGCAGTATCACAGCCCTCACACATATCGAATGAGATTTGTGTGGCGCATATGTATTTGGTGCCTCTTTGTACCATTATCTATGTGTTGAAATAAAATAATAAATAAATAATTCTCCGAAAAGCTAAGCGCTCGGATGTAGTAATAGTGGCCGGTGACTTTAATACTCAAGTAGGTAAACTAAGCGATAGGGAAAGACACCTGGGTGGATCTTATGGTGTCGTGGCTCAAAGAACAGATAATGGCGACCGTCTGTTGCAGCTATGCTCAGATAACCGCCTGTTCCTTGCAAATACTAACTTTAAGCATAAGGAAAAACATCTTTTAACATGGCGACCCCCTAATTCGTCCCAACGTTGGACCCAAATAGATCACATCGCTATCAGCCACCGATGGAGGGGCTCGATAGAAGACTGTCGCTCATTCTGGAGCACATGCCTAGATTCAGATCATGCTCTAGTGCGAGCGCGTATTTGCTTGCGTCTTACTGGACGTAGGAAAGACGCTGCAAGGAAACCTCTTAGGGCCCTACTTAATGATAGTCAGGCTAAGAGTATATTTCAGGAACTAGGAAAACAGTTAGGCAGCCATGTATGTGATGCCCACCCTGAGGCAGCATGGAATGATATCCGAAAAGCTGTGGAAACAGCAGTGATATCTGCTAATAAGGTAAACCAGGAGGTTAGGGAGCAACACTGGATCTCAGCAGCATCTATCGCACTGATAGATGCTCGGAAACTCATTCTACCTGGCTCTGAACATAATGAAGAGCGGAGTCAGCTTAAGCGCAAGCTGACAAAAAGTCTACGCAATGATCGCGAACAGTGGTGGGTAGCGAAAGCAAGAGAGATGGAAAAGGCAGCGGCAATAGGTAATAGCAGACAATTGTTCAGACTCGTTAAGGAAACCGGAATTAGGAATCCGACCGTTAGCGAAACAATCTCAGAGAAAGATGGACATATTATTCATTCTCAATCCAGGAGATTGGATCGATGGGCAGAACACTTTAGGGATCAGTTCAACTGGCCTTCAGCCACACTTCGGTTTCCCACGATCTCTAGTCAACCTGAATGGCAAATTAATGTAGGTCCTCCGTCCCTTTACGAAGTTGAAAAAGCCATAGGAAATCCGAAACGAGGGAGAGCACCAGGCCCTGACAGGTTTACTCCTGAGATTTTTAAGGATGGTGGTCCAGTATTAGCAATGAGATTAACCGAGGTCTTAGGTAGAATTTGGGAACTGGACGTAATCCCATCTGACTGATCTCAATCACTGATTGTGCCAGTCTATAAGAAAGGACAAAAGTCCTCCTGTGACAATCACAGAGGAATCAGTTTGACTAATATAGTGTCTAAAATATTAGCTTCAATAATACTTCGACGCCTAACCAAAGCTCGTGAAGAGCAGATTAGAGAAAACCAGGCCGGTTTTCGACCTGGACGTGGTTGTATAGATCAGATATTCACACTACGTTAGGTTCTAGAACACAGACACACATTCAGACGCCCCACAATGGTAGTATTTCTCGACCTTAAGGCGGCATTCGACTCTGTTGATCGTGAGGTTCTATGGCAGTGTTTGTCACTGAAAGGAGTACCAAAGAAGTACATTAACCTTATAAAGGCTCTCTACTCGAACACAACTGGTCGAGTGAGAGCTTACGGGGAACTGTCATCAGAATTGATTACCTCAAGTGGTGTTCGTCAGGGCTGTCCACTCTCCCCATTCTTGTTCAACTTTGTGGTCGACGTACTTTTAGAGATAACGCTCTCCTCATCTAAATTTCCAGGGGTTGAACTTCTACCGGGAGGTTCACTTGTTGACTTAGAATATGCAGATGACATAGTTTTATTTGGTGAAGACGCTGACAAAGTGCAGAGTCTTCTGACCACTCTAAGCAACAATGCAAGCATGTTCGGGATGCGATTCTCTCCCTCGAAATGCAAAATGTTGCTTCAGGATTGGGTTACATCGACACCCGAACTAGTGATAGTGAGTGAAGTAGTTGAGTGTGTCGACCGCTTCACTTATCTTGGAAGTCTCATCAGCCCTTGTGGTCTGGTTTGTGACGAAATCTCAGCACGGATACAGAAGGCTCGACTAGCTTTTGCCAACTTGCGTCATTTATGGCGTAGGCGAGATATCCGTCTATCAACCAAAGGACGGGTTTACTGCGCAGCAGTTCGTTCCGTCCTTCTTTATGGCAGTGAAACATGGCCGGTAAGAGTAGAGGATATTCGTAGGCTACTAGTATTCGATCATAGGTGTCTTCGAAACATTGCTCGTATATCCCGGGACCATCGAGTAAGTAACACAGTTGCTAGGGATCGGGTACTAGGTAAGGATAGCAAATCAATTGATGAAGTAGTGAAACTTCATCAGTTGAGGTGGCTGGGACACGTGTTACGTATGCCCAACGACCGACTGCCTCGACGTGCTATGTTCAGTGGTATAGGAGTAGGTTGGAAGAAAGCTAGGGGCGGCCAAACCAAAACATGGCACAAGTCCATGAAGTCACTGACAAGTGGACTGAGTCATGTTGGTAGGTGTAGACTACCTTGTTGTGGACCGCGAGATGATAGCAACCGATGGTTAGAGACCCTGAATGACATGGCTCAAAATCGTTTGCAATGGCGCAGGTGCATCCACTCTCTCTATTCTCCCAAATTCTAATCTTCTGAATTCTTCATGTCCCTTTTTTCCTCTTTCCAAATTTATTTCACTGGATTATACTCCTTGAATAACATCTCCAAACCCTAATCTTCCCGATTACTGCTCATACTCTTATTACCTCTACCACTACGGGATTTGAATCGACAACTGCATCTCTGTGCTTATGTGGTGTGGCAACTCGAACTGATGTACGTACGTACGAAGTTCTACGTTGTTACTGACTGACTGACTGATACTACTTCAGTGGTATTTCTTTTGATAATTTCATCAAGCTTTGATTACATGGTGCAACACCTTGGGCCAATGTAGATTCGTACCAAGTCCTACATTGCTTTTAACTGACAGCTCTCATAGTTACCGATAGGTGGTGAGGGACAAACAATTTTGCTTAATTCACTCTACATTATAATCAGATTCCAGAAGATTGATGTTAAGTTATTGTTTGAACCAAAGAACCTATGTTTTGTTTAAATAAAGTGACATACTTTCCTGCCGTCTAAATTCATCAAACTGAATTAGAAAGAACTATAAACAGGAAAACACAGGCATCTATTATTACCCATTCATATATAACTGGCTGCTTCAAAAGCTGTAAATGGTACTCATAATGTGCTAAGTGCTTGTTAATTTTCAATAAATAACCATTTTCTAGTAGCTTGGCTGGTCAAAAGAAAGATCTAGAGAATACAATTGTTCGATACTACGATGTTCACTGTAAAGTAACACTTTGGATTTACACAGAAAAGGTACATTACTTCAATGCCCGCGATAAATGCAGGTCTATTGACATTTGATAGGGTAATTTTCATTGGTATAGTTAACAGGTAAAACAAACCATGAAACTGGTCATTTGGAACTATCGACCACTTTTCGAACGCAAAGATCTTATTTTCGATCTTTGAAAAAACCTTAACGTTTAGAAAGCGACTTATGAGAAGTATTTGAATAATATTATAAGTCGAAGTTTAGGTTTTATGAGGTCCAGTGAACCGAAAAGATCAGTGCACCTTTGGTTTACTGTTCTAACGATTCGCCGATAAGAATGCCAGTTCTGTCCATATCCCCCGTGTATATTATTTCGGCTACAGCTAGTGTCTTAATAATTATAGAGTAGAAATGTAAGTGGTAATAGTCCGTAAAGTAGTTCTGATAGTTACATTTCCAGTATTTGCTCAGTCACATTTGATAGATTTCGCAAGGTATTTTTATTATTTATTTTATTTCAACACATAGATAATGGTACAAAGAGGCACCAAATACATATGCGCCACACAAATTTTATTCGATGTGTGAGGGCTGTGATACTGCCCGGGTGCCCAAACCGAACCGGGTGGTTTTCTTATAGGGCCACTCCCCGAGCCTTCGACCTGAAGGTCTGATCCACAAGGCAGTGGAGCATCGTAAGGAGATGCAGTCCCATGGAAGCCGGTGACCAACAATTGCTTCATACGCCATTTACTCCCGCAGGATACTGGAGCCCATGTGCACAATCGGTTTGGAATCCGGTTAAAGCGTCGGACATTCGCTTTTCGTCCTCTCATTTTCGAAAACAACACCCCCGCCACGAGAAGGCAGTGAGTAGGACTTCCCTGGCAGAGGCTGTATACGCGTGGCCGTGTGAGAGCATTTCGAGAGGGAGAGCGGACGGATTCCTTTTATAAGTAAAGACCAATCAGATAAGTGGGTAAATCTGCTTGAATTTATATGATGAGATTAAATATGTTAATCAGAATAGCACAAAATTGATTACAACTCACTTTGAACACACTAATATTCGGTCTTCTCCTACATCAGCTTGAACGTGAAATTCCTCTGAAATGAGACCACCAACATTTCCTGGATCTGCAGATGCTTGATTTAAAAAGAATGCCAAAGATGTTGGGATGTAACAGATGGAGTTAATAAATTATAACTTAAAGAAATGAAAAAGGATTGAGATTTTACTCAACAGCAAATTAGAGGAGACCTGGTGAAGGTTAATATGTATATGATGTTGATATAGTGCTTGTAGTTAACCACCAGACGTCAATTTTCTCCCGTTACTTTTTAAGAACGTTTATAAGACCTTGCTTTATTAATTATTCGCAACACCTTTTATTTTACCTTCAGACGTATATGAGACAATCTGACGACTACTGATTGTTCTTATGACCAAGCCAATTCGCTTTCATGCAAATCGGCATAATCTCTTTTGAATATACACATATGTTTTGCATAACATGCAGATTGGTTGAACTCTATGTCACTTGTATGCAACGTAATAACGGGACGTATTTCAAATTTATTTCTCAATGGTGAATTGATAATTTATTTAATTCGGACACCCGAAAATCGGACAACGGATGCTTATAGTAGTGATTTTGACAACTTTTTAATGATGAGATTTTTAATCTATCGAGTGCTTTCTACTGATATAATACACCAGGAGAATATTCAGATACTTTTTATGTGAGCTCTCAAAGTAAACGCTCATTACCAACACCAACAAACTGGAGATTAAAGCTAAAATATATTTGTGCTTCATATTACTGCTGATTCGTTTTAAGGGTTCATATCTCTGAAATACCCTAAAGTTCACATCATATTAATTCAGTGTTAGGAATTTAGATAGAACAAAAGGGGATATATTACCAAAACTCAGGTGAACTGCAGTTACTAGTCAGTGGATATAGTCACACTTTATCAACTACCGTGCCGAAAATAACGAGGACAACAGGACTGTGCTTTAAATGAGTACTATGTTGTGAGATCTAACAGTTAACTTTTAGGACTGATGCCCAGTCTTGTGTGCTGTTAAGGGTATGAGGTCTGATGTCACTTCCCGGCTGCCCACACCGTGGAAGGGTATTTCTTGAGGAACCTGAAAAGGAAATTGGATTAATGTTGGTCTTAACGACCTGGGAGCGTAGTCGCATATCCCAAGGGACAACTGCTTGAGGCCGGTTGCGCACGGCCTTTTTGTGGGGTTTTTAACGTGTTAGCTCTGTTCTTCAAAGGACGTTACCGTCGTGGACGGAATTTCGGGAGGTAAAGTGAGGCGTGACATTTTTAGGGTCGACCTTCTCTAACCCCTTCCTTCTTTCTGAGAAGGAAGCAGTGCTGCAGATGCAGGTTGTCTGAGGGAAACACCTTACTGCTGTCACACCCCTCTGCAATCAGCAGTAAGACTTTGCCCTCAAACCTTGAGTTGCTGCTTCTAGTCTTACCGTTCTCCAATCGACCTGCCTGGCATGGTAGAACCTGCAGGAATATATGTTTCAGCAAATACGACTCCGTCGGATTACCACGATGGGCAAGCCCGACCACCGCGTCAAGGTAGCAGCTAGGGTCGGGACTGATGTTACCAACATAGCATCCAGAACTTAAAATCATGGGATGACAGCTTACTAAAAATGACTATACAAGTAGTTTTTATGAAAAAGGGGATATTTTAGATAGTGTATTCCTGGTGAATAATTGCCTTAAAATAATCAGTCGTTTATAATTTGCAAGTGACATCTATCGATTAGCGTAGCACAATTACACTGAGGGACTAGCCACAAAAAGGGTCTGCTCACCAACTAGGTACGGTAACCCAAGGTTAACCAACAAGTCAGAATACGCAGTCTTCACACGTCTATACGTTTCCTCAGCTGTCTCGGCAGAAGCATCAAATGTGTAAAGGTCTGGAATTTAAACAGAATAAAGTGTCTGTACCTTGCATTACAAACTCACGTCCCCTGACTAGACCATGTTTTGGGTGGGGTTCATCTCGAAATTTGCTGGTTATCTTGAAAACAAAAGTATTTTTATGTAGCTTACCTGATACATCAAAACAGGGAGGGACTTATACGACAAATTTAGACAGGCAATGAAATTGGTTATACATTCTTCATGGGTCTAACAGAATGTGAGGGAATTATATATTACTGGCTGTAAACAATACTCATGAGATAATCTGTCTTTGACTCTGAATAAGCTACTCTGCATGGTAGACCATCGACCTGTGCGGTTTATAATGACTGTATATATTAATATATATATACATACCAGACTTTTCCCAGATGTGTCTCGGACCTAACGTTGGGAGCAAAACACGCTGAGCTCCTAGCTGTAACATGTTATTGTCAACTAAACTTTCCAGCTTTCGCAGAGATCGCAGTACTTCCGGTCCAAAAGCATACACACCGGTGGAGTCAGAAAAGATGAGACCATACAACCGCAGAAGCTACATTTTAGTCGGAAGTATCGAACAAAAAACCTTTTGGCTGATACAAAGAGTAGATGTTACTCCAGGTATGTTTATTAACGGGGGAAGGGAACGAGATAGAAACGTGAACACAGACATACGAGGCACGTTAATAAGTCAACGCTCCTAGGGTATCGTCCACTGTGGGGGTCGCGAGCACTTGAAGGTCAAACTGTCGCAAAATGATTGGTGCGTCACATCGACAATTCGTGAAAATTTTCAGAAGCGGTCAAATCAAGACATTTTTAGATTTGAATTGAGTTCAGCCACACTATGTCTGATAACGTTCATTCTTCAAGTAACGAAGGCGATTCCATCGTGATGATGCATGATATAGGACGAATCTTCAATGATATTATGTTATCTCGAAGATTTACAAGTTGGGACAATTTTGAGACCTGTTTGAAAGAAGTACATAAGGTAATATGACCTCTGTGGTTAATAATTATTCTTTTAGTATACGCATACTAAGTACGTTATGTCAGTATGCAAAAAGAACAGTGATGATTCAACTCTAAAGTACTTTTTCGTGAGATATGTCTGTACAAATGGACGTAAACGCAGTTCGTCAGAGTCAGATGCTTGCGTTCAAGATGTAGATGATGATAGTAATAATCATTCTTCTGAAGAGCATACAACTTCTAACTCGCCAACACAACCTAGGTAAAGGAGACTACGTCGGTCATCTGCGTATGCCTTACTTCAAATGAATTTATCCTTCAGGTCGAAATATTGCCACTGTCAATCAGGATTTTGGGTCCGGGCAGTGAATGGTGAGTTGAAACTCACCTCTATTAAAACCGTGCACAACCATCCTTGCACAGAAGGATATATTTCTGTCGATCCATCGAAACGACAGTTTACCTCAAGTGAACGCTTGTATTTAAGAACGTTTCTACTGAGTAATACACTAACTCGTAGCTTACGGTGTCTGGTTTCTTTGAAGTTCAATAAACAGCTTGCCAAGAACGGTATCGCCAGAATGCGTTCACAGTTGTTCCCAGGTTGTTGAACTCACATTGTAATTAATTGAGTTTAGACACTAAAAATATCAATGACATTTTACAGCGCATTCAAGCAAATACTGAAGTTAAAGTATTCAATGAAAATGGGAACATGTCTATGATTTGCTTCAGCCGCAGAGAGCAAATAACTGTTGACCACGCGTTCCCGGAGGTAATATGTATTGATTCAACTTATCAGACCAATAAAGTCGGGTAAGTGACGATTAGTAATAAATTTATCTGAAAGTTTTCCACTTCCAGCTAGTGGTGACTGATAGTCTTGGGCAAGGGCACACTGTTATGTATGCTCTTTGCAGTCAAGAACGACGCGAAGATATCGAAAAACTATTGGAATGTTTTAAAGAGATAATGTGCGGTACTTATGCTACACGCACTTTCATTATGGATTCGGCAGCGACCGAAATTTCTTCTGTGCAGTCTACGCACAGTCATTCTAACATAATACTTTGTTCATTCCATGTTCTAAGAGCGTTTTTCAGGAAGGTATGTGTTAGCTGTACAAATTATTTTCTGTAGTTCCGAAATCCTGATGTGCGCAAATGCTTGGAACACCTTGTGAAGACTAGACGGTCTGATATGTGAGCTTCGCTTTTCATAGCGCATTATATTCAGATTTACTCGAAAGTTCGAACATCTAAGGACGCATTTCCCACGGGCGTATGATTACATAAAAGATTACTGGATTGCCAGGAAGTCAATGTGGGCTCGCTGTTACCGGCGACATGTATTAAGCCTGGGCAACCACACAAACAATCGTGTCGAAAGTGCTCATAAACACCTAAAAGAATGTCTCAGAGAAGGTGATTCCCTGTTATTGACGTTCTGGAAAATTTGGAGTAAAACAGACATTGACCTACGTTTGCGTCCTTTTGACGCTGTGAAGGATCTTCAACGTTTTCCAATTCTTCAGGTAAGAAATATAGTTAAATGTATCATTAATTCCAGGTTCCAATGTCATTTCGAACTCTTCTAAATGAGTTCACATCTTTTGTAGCTAAAATTGTAGCTGTAAATTATAAACGTGTTCAAACAATGAGACACGAATTTATAGAAGGAGAATACATCCGGTGCTACGACAAGGGTATGATGTGTGTTGTTGATACTTCACGTGCACGATGTGCTTGTGAGCGTTTCAATGACTACATGCTGCCCTGTGGTCATATTTTGTATGCACATTCTAAAGATCTGATTCGCGGAGGTATGTGTGTTCCTTTATCTCTTTAAGTTTTGTAGACTTATTTCGACATAGCAACCGGTGGACAAGAAAATACATAATGGACCTGGTTCTTCGTGCGCTGGACAACATCTCAATCTCTACAGGGAGTGATGATCTGCTAGAGAAGTTCACTAGCAACTACCACTCAATCCATGCTCTTAGTTAACCTTTGGCAAGTAAACTCATCCGTTCATGCCTCGAAGCATCGGAAGACATATGTGTACAATTGATGAGTTCAGTCGGTGCTAATGATGAAGCTACAACGTCAGAATCCATTGTTAATACAGACCATAGCTATGCTTCTTGCTAACAAGAAGTTCTAATATTGTAATCTTTTTAGTTTTACATAAATTCATTTATATGGCCATTGACTTATTCTTATAGCGTAACGGCAGGGAGTGTACTGTGCAGTCTTATGTGGCTGTGAGACAGGGATGTTGTTTCGCGTTCTTGTGCACACGCGATTAGTCATACATACCGTTTACCAAATACTGCTACCTTGAACATGGTGTACCATACTAGTAGTCTGAATCTAGCACAAATGATCCATTAATAAATAACTTCTATTTCTCAGGAATTGTTCCCGTTAGGTCTGTGAACACTTGCGAAGCTAGCTGGATATAAGATAGACAGGAAAGTTATTTCAGTATAAATGTTTAACAGAAACTAGTATAAAAACGGAAACCAGTATTCAATTACAGGTCGAAAGTGGATTTAGCGCACCCTTCCTTTGGATAGTCAATCACGCTTATTTCCCTTATCTCTTGCGTTGCTTAGGAAAGTCTGGGTCACAACATACACGGATTGTAGTATTTAATTCTTTGGGCAGGTTGCACTTCAGAAACTTAGACGATGAACATATATAAAGACTACTGTGTGAATTTACTTTGAATCGTCCTGTGTAACCTGCAATTCTTGATGCATATTCTATTCTAGTCCCACGTAAGTTATGAGTAATTGTCATTTACGGCATCAGCACGTAAGCTAGACAGGCCTTGGTTGATTTCCGATCATCACATAGGATCTCACACAATCTGGTCACCTTAGATCAAGATATCTTGACTATCGAGTCGTACTTTTCAGTGCTTTCTCGTGACAGCTTTATATCAGTACTTATTTCTGATATTAGGTATTTTTGCGATAATACCGGCAGCCAAAACATTGTAGCTCCCCAGACAACCCAAAAAGGGAAAATAAAGGGGTAAATGCTTTGGTAGCGAAAGGGGAAAACACATCAGAATGTCGCATTTTTCGCCTGACCGGGGGAAATAATGTGGATTTCCCCCTTTTTCGCCGTTTTGCGATAAATTACTCACTTTTCGCCTAAATATCCGCCAAATTACCGAATTTTCGCATAACTGTCCGCAGAATTGTCTACTTTTCGCCTAAATGTATGCTGAATTGTTTACTTTTCGCCTAAATACACACAGAACTCCCTATTTTCCATCCATTGACATAACCCCAAAGGTCTACTATGTTCGCCTTTATTTTCAACAACAGACCAAAATAAATCTGCAATACAGTGGAAAACCGGCATGTTTTTGAAAAATTTTATTTAAAAGGTAAAGCGTATTATTGTACAACACTAGAGCAGAAGCTTAAGCATCGATTGTTTTGCATATCCAATGCAATTGCTAATTCATTGTTATTTGAAATTATCTGCAAAAGAAGAAACACGTGATGTATTATTTATAAGGAATGTGCATTTATTCAAAACTTCACTGACACTCAAACACACATTCTCAACACTTTTACAGTTTCCCATGTAAGTAAAAAGGTAAGCTGTTTGAAAAATATTTATTGAGATGTAGGTAAAACATCAATTTAATTGCACGGCTATTGAGAATTGAGGTAGTCGTCCCGTGAATTCAGAATTAAAAAAAAGAAAAAAGTCACAACCATATCTCAATGACATGCTTTGGTACAGCCAAACACTTGTGTAGATCTACACAAGAGGTAGTAATGCTATCTTAGCTTGGTCTTTGGTAGAATCCCCACATAATTATACCTCTACCGCATGATTATGATTTATTTCCTGCAATACAATCATCTGGTGGCTAATATATCTAACTGTAGGAGATGATATTAACATCTTAAGATATGTGTTATTATCATCTATAGCATATACATAATATTTACAACACTCAGGACACCTTCTGTTTTCACTATAAACCTATTTCTGCCATAAAAGTCGAACAAAACAATGAAAATCAGCAGAAATTGTGATAAAGATAGGAAAAACGATAAATCTTACCATGGTATTGTTTGTTGTAACGCAGTTTTAGTAGCCTTGACGACAATACAATTTTTATGACGATATATGTCTGAAACTTGCTATTTCATATAAAATAAAAGATTTGTCTACCATCAGTGTATACCTAAGTAGAATGAATTGTTATCTGCGATGTAAACACCGAAAAACTATTCTAGCAGCACCTGAATGATGAATTTTCAAGGACTTCGCGATACCATGTAATGCAAAATGCAAAAAACCCTTTCTATCTAATCATGAAAACGGAAAATAGACTTTCTAATTTATTCATGATGTATTTCGAAATTTGGTTGTGCACAAAGCAGAAATGAAAAAGTAGCGCAAAAAAAGTGTCGCGATACCCCTGGAACGCTGCCCATTAAAAAGGCAAACTCTTTTAATGCCGCCTGCCGTTTCGTTCCAATGACCTTGATCAGCCTTACAAGAAGCGGTCATTGCGTACTTCAAGTGTAGTGGGCTTGTTGCGTGTCTGTTTTATCACACAAATATTAAGTTTTCTCATATTTAAGTAGTCTTTTGCTGCAGTAAAGTCAAAAAATCATTGCGAAAAGCACCGATTTAGCTTTTTCTATTGTTGCTTAGTAACTTGATCTGTGATACAAATGACTCTACTGAACCTCAATGCCTTTTTAAACTTTTTGATCAAGTTCAGAAAACAACCCAACTCCTGAATCGTTCGCCCTGAGAACATTTCGAATAACACTTCCAAAAACCTAGTCACAAGCTAGATTACAATAATTGGTTTTTGTACTTGCCTGCCCTGACTATGCTCAGAGGGCGAAATCGTTCTGGACGGATAGAAGAAGCCTTCGTTCAACGGATTTCCCTATCTACTGGTAGTAATTCATCGATGCCTCTAGGTAGAATTCTAAATATATTTGTGGGGCCATTGAAATATCACTGAGCCCAAGACAAATCATCGGTAGTTGGGTCACTGAATATCGAACCGATCATCGGTTCCTGTCAAAGTCAAGGACAGCCAACACGCATCATTTAATCGAATGTCATGGACTGGCCAATGCCATGGCGGTCTCACTATCTTCTCTGTACTCATTCCTACTAATATATTTCCATCATAACTTTCTTTGTGTTTTACGGATTTCAAAGCATCCATATTACCTTGATACGAAGAGAAATTTCACTTTAGGTGCTGA